AGCAGATAGGTCCAAGAGTAGCATGGCAACACAAGAACGATTGTCAATGGAGTGGAGGATATCATTTTGTACTCGAAGAAGAGCAGTTTCACAGTTATAGCCCTGTAAGTGATACCAAAACTTAATCCAATGATTCATTGTTTCAGTGTTGGATATGTAAGTTAGTCGTGCCCTGACTTAGATCAGCCCATTAAAGGCTGTGTTAGGGTATCAATAAAATTTGAAGGCTTTTTGAAATGATGCTAGCCTAATTACCAAAGTACTTTCAGCTCAGTAATACCTTGTTTAATGCTACTGATCAAAATAATTGGCAAGGCAAAGATTTAATTCACCTTTTCGGCGCTAGCCCTCGCGTGGTATAAATTGTGTTGGATTGTGTTACAGTCACCAAGAAGTTCAGACATCGTTCTTGGATTTCGGTACAAATGTACTGACTTTAAATGAACTATTTACTTGGTTTGTTTAGTTAGTTCTCTAAATACAAGTAAAATATCATTTTTCTAGCTTGATTGAAACTTTTCTTACTGCTGTTAAGGGAGCTAACTAAAGAAATCTATCTAAATTTTCTCTCTAAACTCAGTGAATTTGTATGGGAATCCGAGAACGATGACCATAACACAATCCTACAAAGTGTTTATGACGTGATGGCTATTGCCGAAAAGGTAAAGTGGACAAGTTCAAATTCTGTCCAGGCATCGTCTGATGACTTGCCATTATTTTAAGCCCTGTAACTGTTTTTCCTTCCACGTTGTTGTGTGATTGCTATAATCTATTGAGTACTATACTTGCTACTGCTATAATCCATTGAGTATTATACTTGTTATATAGAAATAGCATTTATCTAAAGTTTTATACAGCGTAGCTTATAGATGATAGCAACTAAGAATTCAGATACATTTTCTAAAAGTTCACAAGATATTTTTCTGTTTTTGGAGAACAAACACAAACTAAATCCCAAGCCCAGAGAAGGAAGTTCTTTCATTGAGACTGATATGAAGCTGAAAAGCTCTGCATGAGCAGTTTACAGTGTTTAAACAAACAAATATCCCACAATCAAGCATTATCAGGTACCCATTATCTGATAAGCATCTGAAATTGATCTCAATTTAATCTTGACAATAAGCTGTTATCAACAATAAGAATAGTGAAAACAAATATCTTGAGCTTCTCTTGTGAACATCTAATACATATAATTGAAATCTAAACTAGAGCTGGACAACTTCCTTGATGGAGGCAAGATCAGGAAGTGAGCTATTTTAGATTTTACAAGATTTTTTAAAAATCAAGTTTCATGCTATATATGGTACAATTCTTTTCGCTGTTTTTTTTAGGAGCATATATATTGTACTTGTCATACAGCAAGATGCAATGGTTTTGGAAATATCGAACCGACATTAATGACATATAACACAACATTCAGGCTGAAGAAAAACTGAAATGAGAATGAATGAAATAGAAAAGGACCTTTGGAAGAAAGAAACAAAAAATGCAAAAATTGGGTCTCCGAACCTGAAAATGAACTCAAATTTCTCAAATATTAATCACTTCAAAAGATGACTAAAACTGGTGGAAATCAATTTGCAAAGAAAAGTGAAAAAAAAAAAGAAATATTATATTTGCATCATTAAGTGGAAAAGCGAAGAAAAATGGGAAGAAAACTTGGAATATATATAAAATATATGAATGAATTGAATATAAATGAAACTTACATTAGGACAAAAAAGCGAAATGAGAAGCGAAATGAAGGAGTTCAAAAAAAAAAAACTTACCAGCCTAATCCAGGAGTTAGAAGTAGAAAAAAAGTAGACAAATGAGAGAAAAAGTGGAAACTATTTTCACTGTCATTTTAGTAAAAAAAAAAAGGTTAACAAAAGATGTAAACAAGAAGAATATTGTCAGAAAATGTTTCATTTAAAAATATGACTTGGATAACTTAGTAATATATGCAGGTGCCTGATAGATATCTGAAGATTTTAATCTCATTCCCAACAAACAGCTGCTAGATACTCCAGGCAAATACAGTGGAGTTGGAAATATCACCTATATTTAGTTCCAATGCTTTACTTAAAACTCCAATCTGGAGTTATTTTGCAAATACAAAAATAATGTGGAATACTGCTTTTAGAAAACACCAAGGAATTAGTCATTTGGACTTAATTTTCAACGATTATGACAGCTATATTGTTTTAAACTTGGATGATCAGATAGTATCGAGTATTACTCTCTTTAAACTAAAGTAATGTATTTATAACTTAATGCCTTTTAGCCTGGTAATAAATCTCCCCAATTTTTTTTTGGTTCTAAAATAAGAACATCTTTGTAAAGAATTTCTATTGGAATTTTGCAGTTAATGAGTTTTCTGACAGAATATGACATGAGTTTCAAAAATCAGCAGACGTTGTTTCACTTTTATTGTAATATCCAATCTTCCAAAATTCCATTTGAAAAGTATATTGTCCTTAAAAACCTAATACACACACACAAAAAAAAAACCCAAATGTCTTCTATTTTTGACAATAAAAATTAAAAAGATACGATCCTAATTTCATGCACACAGACTGAAGAAGTTATTATTCTTATTGTTGAACGATTCCCTTATTTTACAGATGATTACAACCAAGGTTTAAAATGCAGTAGACAATTAGATGATGTAGATATAAATAGACTACATATTTTCCTACATCTTGGATGTCAAAATTAAAAATACATACCCCTTCACTCTTTTATAAAAGATCGATCACACAACAAGTTTGAATAAGATACATAAAGAAACACGAACGATATTTGTACACCGAGACATTTCGTGGTTCTTGAGTATTATATTTATTAAAATTGCAGTTTGGGATTAAATTGTTTTGACAATATGAAATACAGTTATCTTCGGTGAATAAATTTTTTTGCTGACATTTCTAGGGTAACTGAAGATACACACGTGAAATCGTTGATCAAAGGGAGTAGCATTGATCGATGTAAACATAATAAACAAAGATGGAAAATCTGAAAATAAAAGCTTTTAAAACGCGTCTTATTTTCAACCATATAAGAGAAATAGCTTAGATAAAAGCAATAGAAATAAAATCCTTGACAATTTCCTGTGGACGCTTGTGGACGATTGCAAAGGAATCGAGCGTATTTTATCGCCAAAATATATATAACTCCTATTCCATGACTGACCTTGATCGTAAACAAGAATTTTTAAGAGGGGATATTTAAGAGTTTGAAATGCATAGTTTCGCTCTCCAAGGAATCGAAAGCTGAAGATTAGAAAACGGATAAAATCCGCGAGCCAGGATTAAATGTCGCTGGTTTAAACGAGAGTAAACAATGAAATCTTGGCCTGAAAATGCAACGAGTTTATTCTGTGTTGTGATAACGGACTTAAAGAGTGATGGTCTCGAAGGAATCGTTCATCGCTCTTTCTAGTACCGTATTTCTACTATTTTTCTACTACGGCTCTAGGATTTCAGTTAAGAGGAATCGTAGAGCAATATCATACCTTCTCCAGTTCTGTCCTTGATCCATTTGTGGCGGAGAGAGGTATGGAGGTGCAGCATGGTAGGGAGAAGTATCGATGTATTATCTGTCAAGGAATAAAACTATTCTCCACAAACTTAAAACATTCATAGTACAGTATAATTCTAAAATACGGACATCAAACGTCATTTAGATTGAATCATTCGAGCGCAGAATGAAGGTTGACCATGTGTTTATCAATATGAAATCCGGAGTAAAACTGCTCCAAAATGACAAGCCCTTTCGTTTTGAACGAGCTGTAGGACCTAGTGTTGTTAGAAATCTAGCTTCACTGATGTGCAAAAGAGCTGTGAGTCAAAAGAGTAATGAGTAGAGAGCACAATAACAACACAGCCAAAAGCAGTTGTCAATCTTTAGTTAAATATACACAAGATAAACGTAACACAAGTTAGTGGTACTGAAAGGATATTCCAAAGTTTCGTTTTGGGAAAGGTGTCGTTCTGTTGGCTGTATATCGTCGTTCTCGCATTGGCAGCCTATCAACGAGTCCTGGTCTCTGCATATTGTCCAGATTCATCAAGGCCTTCTGATACAATCAAAAAACAGCGTAAAAAACACTAAGTCTCTCAAGCTGACTCGAGGGAACACGTAACACCAGTTTCACACGTTCGCTTCAAAACAACCAGCAGAGCTCAGCTGAGACCTCCAAAAACCCACCTGAAGATCAATGTGGTTCTGTCCAAAGCCTATGTTCACATTGGGAAGTGATCTATATTGCTGGTGTTGACTGGGAGGAGCTTTCATGGAATTCTAACGAAATAACAGCAAAAATAAGTCAAGACGAAAGCGCCAACCATCATCTCCACTTCTACACCAAACTCAACTTTCTAAACCAACATACAACAAACTCACCCCTAAATCAGACACTTCCTTCATGATTTCCTCAAAGGCTCGAGTCTCCTCGGCCATTTTTGCGTTGTGTATCGCAATCTTTTCCACAAATTTCCTCGGGTGCGCCATCTTGGAAGATTTGGGTCGAGCGTGTTGTCGTCTAGCGGCGTTCCATTTCGGTCGAAGAGGGTCAGCTCTCCGCCAATCACAACACTCCAAATACAATCAAATGTCATCATATATGCAAATTATACCCCAAGATTACTACTTTCTTATTGGCCAAGGCGAATCACGTGAGGGCAGAATTGTGAAAAACGCGGGATATATTTGGATTGAGATTTTTGCTGAACATTTGGATAAAAAGTTTACATAGAAATTATTATGAAATTTTGCTTCGTTAGGGTAAAACAATATGTGGTAATTATGCCCCAAGATTATTAAGATTATTAGCTTCCTATTGGTCGAGAGCAGAAAAGTAAAAAAAAACGTGGGATACGGAGTGAGGTTTTAATGATTTTTTTTAGAAAAAAAAGAAATATGTGAAAAACTTTCAATTTCCCCCTCAAATTTATAGTCTTTATAGAACGATACGATCATTATATATACTCCAATCTACTGAACTCCTATTGGCTAAAACACATCACGTGAGTAGTAGATCATAGAAAACGCAGGACAGTTAATGGCAGGGTACGTTTTTGATGAACATTCGGAATAAGGTTAATGTAAAAAAAAAAAAGAACTTTCAGTACGTTAGGTTAAAATAACAAGAAATAATGCTTTGATAACAGAATGATGAGGAGAAAAAAACGGATCATGATTCGAATTAATAAATTTACTCTTTAAACTGACAGGAACGTTTTGGAGAAGCCTTAAATTTTATTGCGGCCTTGAAACATCCTCTGGGCCGATCCAAGTCAGAGCACAATGTAAAGTAGAGTTACGGGAAGTATACGATAGTATTGGGAAGTTTTTAGTTAATAACTTGAAAGGGGTCGCGAACTACTTGTAAAGTTGAAGCATTGACATGAAAATTACCAAAAACAGCACACAATTAAGAGTATTAAAGAGTACAACGAATAATCTATAAAGCGTATGTCATCACAGGAGTAAAAAACACTAGATATGAAAAAAATAGCAAAGATTAATATTTAGACCAAGACAGTACTCGTTTATATTAATTTGAAATTTATAAAATCAAGTTTTTTCAAAAAAAAAAAAAAAAAAAAAAACTCGTATGAGCGATACACGCATTACTCAGAAAGGTAAAAGTAAGTAAATATGACCAAAATAACAGTTTCTTTGCCCACTGTTGGATGAATAAGTCACGCATAGCTGTCGAGTCTCACTTAAATAAGTGTTCTAAAAATAACGTCATTACTATAAATGACGTCATCGCTATATAATAAAGTGTAGGCGGATATAAAAATATCGTAGCCGTGACGAATGTACGGGAATTAATGATTAATTCGTAAGTTATATTTTTAGCAGTATTGAAAATGAGATTTTCGCATCACATTTACAAATTTTGTTCCCTCAAAATTTAACAGGAGTCTTTTTCATGCTATTCTCAAATCACGCCATAATTTACCTGGGTGGTGAAGATATACTCATTTTATTGTCCATGCTATGAAAAAAAGAAAAAAAAAACTAAAAGTGCTTTCGAAGGAATGAAAATTATTGTATTATTCGGCTCCAATCTCTGCGCGAGTCCACAGCAATCGGAGGGAAAGGTGGGACTGCCCGCAGTCTAGTGAAGAAAAAGAAAACGCGCGCGCGTGCTGTGCTGTGTGCATTCATAAAGCACGTGGGAGTTGGCAGAACACAAACGAAGTGTTAGGTACGCTGAGTGCTTCTGGACACTTCTCGAGTGTTCTGCTAATTCCCAAGTGCTTTATAACGGCACACAGCACAACAAGCAAGTTTTTTATTTCTTTTATGAAATACAAAATACAATAACCGTTATTTTAGATATGAATGACGCAACGGAAAGTGCGCGCGCGTGCAATGTGCTCTCATAAAGCACGCGCTCCAAATCAATCAGAACGCGACATTCATAACAGTTATTTTATAAGAATGAGCATTTTACATTTTTGCTAAGTTCTCTAAAACGTCTTGTATTACTTTATATCACAGCACTATTACTTTAATCAATCAGAATATTTATTTAGCACAAATAGCTTACGTTTTCTTACAATTATTACATCCAAAATGTCAAGACATTCAGTATTTTCGGTGGTAGATAAACTGGTCTACAGTGTTCCCTCTTTGTATACTATGGAAAAATATCTACTGACCTGTGAAGCCAGCCTAACTAGATATTGATAATCTGTTCGACAGAAAAGCTGTCAAAATGTGGTGATGGTGGACTTGTGGTGATGGGAAACGGGAAGCTAGTCTAACCACAATCCTTTGTAAGCGATCATCAAGAAACAGCTCTTCGTTATTATTCAAAAACTTAATGTTCTTGAAGCAAGTGAAATAATTAGCTGATTTGCAATTCAAAAAGACAAGTGTTAAGTTTGCAAAGCATTGTGGTCCAGTCTCCAATCCTTATTTCTTAAATTAAATTGAACGTCTTCCCTCTAATTCAGCGTGCTAATTTTGATATCGATGCAGGAATATTAAACCAAAGCTTAAATATCTTTTATATTAGGTGTAAGGCAGTGAAAGGCAAGTAACGTTTGAGTGCGTTAAGTATCCTAGAATTGTTTAAAATTTTGATCTGATTATCGAAATTAATATATTTAGTTTCGGTTTAAAACTATATTTTAATCTTGAGGATTTTGAAAATTCATGATATATCAATAATTTTCAAGTGTTTTTTTTTTGTCCAAGCTTGTCTGCTTTAAAGACACCGATTTCAAGAACCAGCTCCTCATGACGAGGATGGGCTCCCTGTGGAGAACTTCAAAAATATAACCGAATGAACCACAAATGTACCGCTTGACATCATTTCAGCGATCATTAGTGATTTGACAGGCGTAATAAATGCTTCTTGTTTTGGTAGGTGGGCTACCTGTGGTGCGCTTTAGGAGAAAAAGCATGAGCTACCTTGTGTATAAGTACATTAAAGTACTCATACGAAGGTTATCACTTGGCAGGCTAATTTATATTACCTCTAGCGATTTCAGTTGGTTGTAATTGGCTTATTAAGTGTTCGAGTTGGGCTTCCTGTGGTGCGCTTCGCGCGTGAGACAAGAACCACGTTTGTTTAACAAACAATTCAATCTATTGATTAGCTGATCATGTCAAGCAGCTTATCATTATTGAGTACGTCTAGCTAGCTACTCATTATTTGCCGTAGAACTTCTTGTTCAACAGGAAGATAAGAAGATTCACATTGATTTTCGCTCGTCCAAACATCTTCATGACAGCCACGCCCTCGTACTGAAGCTGAAGAAGATCCTAAAAAGCACAAAACAAAATCGACTATTCAGTACAAGGCATCCATTTTTTTGCAAAGTTGAGAGAGGGCTGGTATCGAATTTGTCCTGCTATGAATCATGGGACACAATCTCGCGCCCAGAGTCGGGCTTCCGGCTTTTTGGTCAACGGGCTGGCGCTGACGGCAAAGCAGGAAGGCGCTGGAGGACTCTGGGTGGTCTGACACGTGGTCTGAAATGTGAAAACATTACGCCCAAGCTAAAGGTCTATTCGGTTTGAATGAGCAGCGTGGGTGTATAAAAGTGATTCAAATCCAGCGTGTTCTTTATAGTCTAAAGATATAATTATAAACCGTTTCAGCATTTCTTAAGAACTGATATATCTTCCCCCGCGTGGTGAACTGTTTCCGCCCTAGAAATCTTATTCGCAGCACTCAGTTATTCTTACGAAAGATAAACTGTACACCAACGCAGACAAAAATAGTACGCTGGACCTAAGCAGGTTGATATTATAAAGAAAATCACACAGCACTCAAATGGTTTCCGTTGACGCCAATTACGCAGCGCGGCTACGAAATTATCCAATCAGAATCGGACAACACACATTATCCAATCAGAGCGCGTCCGCACGAAAGCCATTTGAGAGTCATAAATTTCTATTTCGCGTTAACAGCCGCGTACCTCAAAGAATCATAATTATGGGCCAACTCTGACTAAAAAGTCTGGAGTTTCCAGAATCTCATGGCTTTTTTTGTTTGTTGCATTATCGCAAAGGAAGAATAACCAACAAACGACTAACCTGAAAAACCAGTTCTACTTTCTCCATGGCAACGCCCATGAACTTAGCCGACACCGCAAATGAACCAACATCATCTCCTGACTTAATTTCGAACATGACATTCTTAAACCTTAAAACGAACAGAAAAGGAACATATCAGTGATAGTGCAGGGCTGTCGGTCAGAATAAGGATGGGAGAATGGGATTGGGAGAATAGGAATGAGATAATGGGAAAAAGGAATGGGAATTGTAGACTGACCACTTGGGGCTGTGCAGTCCAGAACAGTTTTACGATTAGCCATTTTTTTCCATGTTCACTAATCATAACATAAAATGCAAATACGATGTTATCCGTCCCTCCCTCTTTCCATCCCTCCTCAGTACGTATATTAAAATACTTCAAATAATACCCTAATGAGAACGCCATATCTGCCCTACGAGCCACACAGGTATAGAGTATAATGGTGATGAAGAGGACGCCAAAGACGTTGCGCGCATGAAAAAAAAAACAAGAAGATCCTGGCGCCTTCGTGCCGAGGCTGCGTCGTATTTGCTGAATCTCTACACCGATTCAGCACGACCACTTCAAGATTTTGTCTAAGCGTTCTATTCTTAAACTTGTAGCATTCTCCCTCGGTGATCCTTCAAACGTGTTAGCTCGTACGTTTTCGCAAGGTTTTAGTAGGATTTTATCTGAGTGTTGGACCACCATTTGTAGCAGATTATGAATGTTTAATGACTTTTATCAGCTGAATGAAATCTTAAGGAAACTTACTGTGCAGGGGGTAGACCCTCGATTTCCAGAATCACGCCTTTCTCGTACAATCTTTGTGCGCTGTACTTCAGTTCTCCCTTGTAAACCTCTTCTTTAGCCTTCTTGCCCTGTTTAATGCCTCGCGATGGTTTCCTGAAAAAATGAAAAATAACTGAATAATGAAAGAATGGCATGGGATGGATGGGATGGATGGATGGGATGAGATTGGATGGATGGATGGGTGGATGGATGGATGGATAGATGGGTGGATGCATGGAGGCACGAATGGTTTTGGGATGAATAAACAGATGGGAAAGTGAATGAATAGAAAGATAATAGAATACGCAAGGGATGAATGGGATAAGACCGTGGATAAATAAAACGATGAGAGAATGGCTGTGGGATGAATGAAAGAATGGATATGTGGATGAATAGAAGGATGGCAGAATGGATGGGAAAACAAGACCAGAGTAGCGGTTTGACATTGCTCGTAGCAGTCGAAGCACTTTTTTAAATAATTACGCGACCAACTCAGTCCAAGAGGTCTGGCTCTTTGGCTTCCGTCGATCAAAAGAAATTACTAATGCAGACCATACGAAATTTGATTGACGGAAGTAAAACACTCAGCTGGTATCTGGCTCGCGTAATTACGAGAATGGGTGCAACCAACGTGGTTGTAAAATTCCCAGCTTGACAGCACTATTTAAAATAGATGCTCCCATTTTTCTCCACGAAGACTTATCATTCAAGCCTGGCTTGGACAAGTCCTAAGGGTGTTCAAGCCTACTTACTTGCCCATCTTAGATAGATTATCCAAACACACGCGTATGTACTGATTGTAGTAATCGATTTGTTCTTCGTAAAAGTGGGTTTTTGTCTGCAGGCTTTCAAGGGTTTGTTTAAGCTTCTTTCTTTCTTGTCGTCTTCTTTGTCTGTATCTTCTCTGATTCCTAATATCCTATAACAATCATGGTAATTTAGAGTTAAAAACAAGCGAAGAATTAAACAGAATAATAGAGCTACCTTTGAACTTTGCTTCTATAAGGTATAACAGTCACACAATAGAATGTTTTTCTTTATTTAAGAGCCCAAAAATTAAAAGAAAAAGCAACGAATACCAAGTAAATGTGTAGCTAAAGTAAGGTTTAGTAGCAAACAAAACAGAGTTAACTACATTTGAAATTTATTTTTTTACGGTGACTATTTCCTCAAGACAGCTGCTTTAAGGGTCAATTCATCCAAATACAATGACCCCCCACTGTTCTTTTAGCACGCGGCTCAGTCATCGAAAATACTAGTCAGATACATCGATTTCCCATCGACGAACTAGTCAGTAATTGAGAGTAGTTTGGGTGATATGGGTAAGACCATGAATCCCGAGGGATTCCCGATTTATCTTGGTCCTCGTTTGAGGCAAGAGAGTGGTTCGTATTCTTGTTTCCGTGATATTCTATTCATAGTCATCAATGTTTGTTTGATACAGATATGAAGAAGTTTCTAGAAGTTTCTACTGTAGTAGAGGACGTGCAGAAGGTAGCGTCGGTGCGTAACGGCAAACAAAAGAACATAGTTCACTGGTAGAGACAAATACTCCTCTATGCAACTCGGGGAAAGCACATGCTGAGTACACGAGGAAGCAAACACGCCTGAGGGGAGGGAGGACGGGTCAGAAAGAACCAATCCACCCATTTAAGACCATGTATCTTGTGCGGTCTCTCCCTTGATTCAAATGGTTTTCTCCAGGTTCTCTGGTTTTGTTCCCTCCGCAAAAAAATAAACTTGTATTTTCAAATAGTCCAATTTACAGTTCCCTGCGCCATCTTGAAAGGTATCCGTGCCTCTTCATCGAACGGTGAGCATGCAATGATAGAGACATGTGAATAATTGTCCAAGGTGTTAAAAAAAGGTCACTATCGTTACAAGGTCACCGTTAGTCTTGTTTCGATGCAAAGGCTCGAATACCTTTCAAGACAATGGCTGTTAAGTTATACTCTCGTAAAAACAAGCACGATTTGACCAGAATTGTAGACACCGAAGGTAGCCTTTGGCGGGAAGAAAGGTGCAGAGATACGAATCTGATGTTTGATGTGATGACGTGTCGTGGTTACCTTGGCGATGGCATTGACGATGTCCTGATAGTCATTCTTAATCGTCACCAGTCCCTGGCTTTCAAGCATTCGCAAGTTTCGTATAATTTTTCGTTTCAGACCCTCCAATGGAAGTCTAGGTTATGAAAGATTGGATAGGAATTAGTAGTGAGTCATTGGGGGCATTCCTCAAGGTTCGATATTAGGACCTACTTGATATCCCAAAAAATAAAAATATGGAAACAGATAGCTAGGGAAACAAATGGACCAGTCAACATCAATTTGATTGGTGGGCGCTAAATAACAAGTCACACACAGAATGTTGGACATGTCGGAATTCCTCAAGGTTCAATACTAGGACCTACTTGTTATCTCCATATATGGAAGCAGATCGCCTGACTTGTGTATTTTTTCGTTTTCTTTCTTCGTTCTTTTCTCTTTCCTTCACAAGATTCGTGTGTGCCGTTTCCTACAAGACAAGGCGAGACAAAAATGATGACGACGACGACGATTGTGATAATGCTTGTGATAGTAATTGTGATGATAATAACGAAGACAATGATGGCAATGATGATGATGACGATGATTATGATAATGATGATGACGAAGATGATGGTAATAATGATTTTAATTAAATGATGACGGTGATGATGATTATGATGATGGGATGATAATCAGTATTATGACGAAGATGATTACGAAGATGATTACGAAGATGATTATGATGGTGATGATGATTATGATAATGATGTTGACAACAATCGGTATGTATAAGATAATGATGATGATTCTGATGCAGATGATGATTATTATGACGGTGATGAATATGATGATGATGACAATTGGTATGTATAAGATAATGATGATGATGACAAAGGTGGAATTCCATCGCACGGTTTTCTAGCCTATAGTAATACAGCTTACCTGTTCTTCTGTAGCCGGTGTTTCTAGAATTTCCGTAAGGTTTTCTCCTTGTTGTACCATTAGCACATCGACTATCAATCTCTTTGTTCTACGAACAAACAACTTAACTGTAACATCCACCAAAACCTACTTTATCGCTATGACGATCACGCGCGTGCAACTGAGAACGAGTAGAGGGACGGGACTTCTTGCAAGACGTAGGAAGCGATAAGACAAAAAGATATTTGTTTTTTCCGCTGGTGTTTACTTACCTGACGAAGAGAGCCCGCATATCGGAATCATCGTCATCAGGAACCTCGAATTTATTGGTCAACATGAGGGAGATCTCTGTTTTGGCCACGTTGGCTAATTCTTGGTCCTCGTCTTCATCGTCAGGGTTACCTCCTGTTGTTAATAGAAACAGCAATATATGAAATATCGGCATGAGTAACGACAACAACAACAACAACAACAGTAACAGCAGCGGTAGGAGCAACAACAACAGCAGCAGGAGCAACAACAGCAGCAGCAACGACAACAGCAGCAGCAAGAACAACAGCAGCAGCAACAACAGCAGCAGGAGCAGCAACAACAGCAGCAACAACAATAGCGACAGCAGCAGTTACAAGGCCACGATGCCAAAGATAAATAAAAACAGACAGAGTGATCATGTGGACCCAACTAACCAATCAGATCCTTGACATTAGGGGCGTCACCCAAGTCGTCTAACAGTTCATGCAGAGGGTCATTAACGTCTGGTGCTATCTGTTCTTGGTGTTCGAGGAGAAGCGTATGCGTGTCACAGATTTCTTGTACAGAGATGTAGATGACAGGCTTTGTTAGCATGACCACGTCTGTGTATTCATCGATGTTGAAGCGTGATTCAGGCTCTTCCACGGTTGAGACTTCGAGGAAGTATTTTCTGTACGTGAATGAAAAGATAAATAAATGGAAGGTGAAAGGAAAAGGGGATTCAATGATGGGAGGGTGATACTTTGGGAAGTACTTTCTATACAATGAATAGAAATTGAATAAATGAATAAAAGGCGAAAAGAAAATGGGATTAATAGGTAAGAAAGGCAATGCGTTGTTGCACAAAAATGGTGAACGCAAGGTGAAAAAGGAATGAGTTGTTATTATTATTATTATTTGAATGAGCGAAAGGAAGGAAGGAAGGAAGGAAGGAAGGAAGGAAGGAAGGAAGGAAGGAAGGAAGGAAGGAAGGAAGGAAGGAAGGAAGGAAGGAAGGAAGGAAGGAGGGAAGGAAAGAAGGAAGGGAGGAAGAAAGGGAGGGAGGGGTCTTCGAACTAAACAAGTTTAGAGTAACCCAACTTACTTAAACTTTATATGCGCTTCTTTGATGTAATTGTTCAGTTCACCGAGATGAGAATTTGCTCCATCGTACTGAAAAAATGGAAAATGATAAATGGATAATTATTCAACACCAACTAATGCAATAATAAGGTATTCAGCGACAAAATGAAATAATAAAATACTTGATAAAAAAGTTAATCACACTATCGATACAAATTATTATCATTTTTCATTCAGATAACGTTATAGTTAAGTGTTCATATTTTTATGTTAAAAAGACTTTGTCACGATTGAATATTATTATTTTTATTCTTCATTATTTAACGAACTCATCGGGTTTTTTTAACTTTAAAATTTAGATAAAGATTTTTTTAAATAATATTTTTTTACAAAAGCATTATGACATAAGCTGGATGCATATTAGAAGCTTTATCATTAATTAATAATATCCATTAATTTATTAGTTTGGTTTAATTGATTAATTTTATACTAACAACATTAAAAGCATCATTTGTTTGCGCAGCTGAATCATTCAAGTCGTTGTCAGATGAAGCCTTCCATTCCTCCTTGTTGCTGTTCATTGTTACCTACGAGTATGTTAGTTAGCTGATTATTAGGTTACACTTTAATGCATATTATAAATTATCTGTTATAAGTCTTTCTGCTACGCGTCTTGCTTCTCGTAACATTTCTCTCGTGTTCTGTTAATCCTTAATGCTTTAACAAAAAACAAAGCAAAAAAAAAAAAAAAAGCTTTTTTAGTGCTCTGTTCGGTAATTAAAGCACGGACGTACGTACGAACGAAGTGTAAAGAGAAGCGCGAGCAGTATGCGCGTATTATCTCTGCTTTTGCTTTCAGCTCGCGCGCGCGTTTTTGATTTCTTCATTTTCTTGAATTGTGCGCAGGCAACCAACATAGCACCTACTACATACTATCCCCTCTTCTCCCTCCCTCTCTCTCCACGGGGAAGGCCTTCGACGTAAAGCAATCTTGACATGACAAGTAACGTCTCTTGACAACCAGGTCAGATATTTTCCTCAAAAATGAATGATACGACATAAACTTACGAGTTTGTTTGAGGCAGCGAACTGGAGAAGTTTTGCAATGATGCCCAGATTACGTCTCTGAAAAAGAAAAAAAGATTCAAAACTGTCAATAGAGATTTACTCCATTCAAAAGGATGACAATAAAATTCCATTTTTCTGTCGTCAAAGTCATTTACCGCCAAGGCGCGGCTGAAACAGGAAATTATAATTTTGTAGACGAACAGTGGTTACCTGCTCTGGTAGAAGGCCTTTCTCGACGCTTAGGTTCACAATATCAAAGGCATCTGGTGCGACGATTGCAGGGTTCATGTAACGATAGTATATTAGATTACCAACAACCTGCAGGAAGGACAAAGAATCAATGAGATAATTCTGTAGTATTCATACGTCAATAAGTCAGGTAAAGATAATTATGATGATGATAATGTTGATAATGGTGGTGATGATGATGATGATGCCAGATGGTCATGTAAGATGCTGATGATGATAATGATGATGGTGATAATGGTTATGATGGTGGTGATGATGATGATGGTGGTGATGATGATGAACAAGGTGATGATGAAAATGATGATGGTGATAATGATTATGATGATGATGATGATGAAGGTGATGATGAAAATGATGATGGTGATAATGATTGTGATGGTGGTGATGATGATGATGATGAAGAAGAACAAGGTGATGACGAAAATGATGATGATTGTGATGATAATGATGATGATGATGATTGATGAAGAAGA